GTCAAGGGTGGCAGATTTGGAAGTGAAGTTAACAGAGCTACAATTTCTGGGTAGGAAGTTGATTGGTATTGAAAACATTGATAACATGATTCACTGTCACTTTATAACGTATGAATTTTCCTTTGCAAGAACAGCTAGCAAATTGCTGTTAGGGACCCTTGCATGTTTCTTACGCAGCATGTCTGGTTTTCACTGTCACTATATTAATAAAATTACTTGCACGACACAAGCAGCAATATTTTTTCTTAAACGCCTTGTGCGATAGGGGTTGTTTACACAGCAATTGCAATCACGATACTCCGACACTAATCTCAAACCTCATGTTAAAATTTTATCTGAATCACTGATGCTATTTTCAGGACTCTGTTAAGCCAAATGGTAACATTGTAAACGAGACATGTAAAAAGACTGAGGGATATATAAATGGACCTGTTCTCTACAAGGTGTTACCGCTTGAGATAGACCCGACTGGTCACATTGAAGCAAAGGAAGACTCTGAAGGGTTCTTAGAGGACACGGTTGAAACTGACTCAGCAAGCGGAAACTTCTCTAGCAGTATGTACTATTTTAACATGGTATTTCGGCGTGAACTTTGTCCGCTAGTTATCATATATCGCGAATATAAGCAGTACTTTTCGAAGATAATGTTCTTTTGTGATGCAGTATTTTCGATAATAGGTTGCATTTCCATAGTACTCAGCGTAGCCAAAATATGTTATATTTCAGGCAATATGTTATATTTGCATTAATAAGTATTAATTCCTGAAGCTTGCAGTATTTCCAGTAGTATGTAATATTTCTCGCAGAATGTAATATTTGTCATGTTTTTTTGTTTGTGTGTGATAAACTAACATGCTAGTCAGCCATATTTTGTATTCTAACCAGAACGAGGCCGGAAGGCACAGATAGTCGATTAACTCAACTATACGATTTTTGTAAATAGAAGATAATTCTAAGCAGAATACCAAACTATTGGTTTTATAATTTCCGGAAGCTTGCAGTATTTAAGATAATAGGTTATATTTTCTGGCAGCATGTAATTTTGGCGCTGGTAAAAATCGTTTCCGGCAGTTCTTAGTATTTCCGGTGGTACGTTTGTATGTTACAGTTTTGCAATATGTAATACTGGTGTTGGTAATATCACTTCCAGCAGTTTTCTGTTTCCGATGGTATATTTGTATGCTATACATCTGACTGGATGAAGAATTGTCGTTTGTTTTGTACATGCAAATAGTATTATCGGTGGTGTGCTATATTTTCAATAGGGTTTATTGTATCATATGTAATATATCTCCTCATTTTTGTTGTAACATAGTTTTGCTTAAAATAATTGTACACTATGGTTTAGTTAAACCTTAACCTTAAACTCTAATGACTGATATATATCTTTAGATATATATCTTTACAATATGTCATATCAATATATATCGGGGCCGCGGTAACCAAGTGGATAAAGCATCTGACATTCTGCTACCAGAAGCCCTCGACCACTTGGTCGCGGATTCGAGGCATATATGTACATGTACATCTTCGTGGGGCAGTCGCCATGTACTGACCGCAGGTCGGTGGTTTTCTCCGGGTACTCCGCCTTTCCTCTACTACCAAAACCTGGCACGTCCCTAAAAAACTATAGTTGTTCATAGGACATTAAAATATAAACAAACCAAAAACCAATATATATTTATTTCATCCTGAAAACATAATTATTTACTTAAGAGAACAACATGTTGAAGACGATGTTCGTTCATATGGATGTCCAATCCAAGAATTTAAAGTCAAGGAGAATATGTAACTGTAAATGGGTGAATTGATTCTCCAGTAAAATGTGCAAATGTGTTTGGTCACCTTCCAGGCAACATTGGGTTTCTCTGGGTACTCTGGTTTCCTGCCACAGTTAGATTCGCTCGGATTATTATAATGTATTAAGATTTGTTTCACAAGTAGCGGGAATGAATGAAACTTATGTTTATGAATATCACTATTTTCATAATAAATGAAGCAATTATTACTATTGTAGCGAAGCCTGATCCCACGCTCTCAGAAAGCTTCGAACAGATAGAAGAACATCTCCAACCTGTAATGGAAGACAAATCTGTGGCTGATGCATTTAAATCCATTTCTATCGAGGACATAGATTACTTATGTCGTTTGGTAAGTTGACCTTTTAATACCTAATGGACAATTCAGAATGTTCCCGGCTGGCTGAAGGGTCTATGGTAAGGAGGGTCACGGCATAGGTTTTCTAATCCGTGAAATATGTGGGCATTTACAATTGAAAGTGTCCGAGGTTTGACAAAGCGGTATACTGGTAGGGCAAGTATAGTCAGCTTCTGTGTGAGGACCTACTACTCACTGTCCAAGCCTGTCACAATGCATTTCTTCTGGCATGACCATAGCTTTGATTATCATTTCTGAAAACTCTACCTTGCGCAACTTTAATGAAAGGATTACAGATGAAATAAACAAAGCATGATCAACAACAGTGTTCTATACATGTGTACAGTTCTGCGCGGCTAGACTATGTTTCGAACACTGAACCACAATTTGGTATACTGTTGCTGGAAACAATGAACTACCAGGCAAAAGAAAGTATATTGTCCTAATAAAGCTCCGTATATTTCCAAACTAAGATAGGTTGATGCTTATTATATACGAAAAAACCACAGCGTGTTTTACCTGCAGTGGGCTTGTATCCTTAAGACAGTCCGGTCATACTTATATTCGTAGATCGTGAGGCATGCGGTATTTCAATTTCGCCAAGTTATGAGGCCGTTTACGACGGTTTGGAGATATGAATATTTGTTGTTTCAGATTTGAATATTAGTGTCGGTGTTACATGTATTAGGCCGTGGAACACAATATTATTCATCTTAGCTTTTATATCTTAGTCAAAACTTTTCAAATTTGTACATGACAGGTTTTAGAAAGAAAGTCCATTGGTTAAAAACAATGTTATAAAAAAATCTGATAAATTCATCTCTTAATACCATGATTTTTTTGCAAGTCTTAATTATTTATTTATTTCGTCAGAAATAAAGAGTATTTTACACGTTTCACGTCAAATAATTTTCAAAATCTTTTTCGGTTCTTAATCAGTTTGAAAGGGTGCAAGACTCTCCGAACGATGTGGAAGAGCCCGGTCAAATGTCCTCAGAATGCCGCACGATTTGGGAATTTGCGAAATGTCAACGCCAGGTACGTACACATCATAACATAATACAATTGAAATGAATATAGATTCACAAATGAACTGATTATTACATTTTGCCGAATACAATTATATGCGACCTTGTTAACTTACACTTAGAAAAATAATTACATATTTTCTTTTTGATTGATACCGCTCGATATCACGTCTTACTGACTGTATGCATCGTTATAGTTATAATTTAGTGTGTTCTAATATTCTTACTGTCTTACTGACTGTATATATCACTATGTGCTAATATTCAAAATGTAACATACCTTTTTGTGTCGAAAAGATTGCTAAGCAATTTGATGTCTAAATGACACATCAATGCTGTATAAATGGTAAATTTACTTCCTATTTTTTCATTTAAAATGAAGACACGTAACGATTTGTTATTTTTATAAGAGTGTCCTTGTTAATCTCAGATGATAATGAATTCTCTTTACTGTATTGGTTTATTCTGAAGGAATCGGACGAAAAATATCGCCATTCCCTCACAAGCTGTTACTACCTAGCCGCTGTGCTGGCCGAGGTCCCTACGTCAGTCCGTCAACTTTTCGACCAGACCACAGTCAACTTATTCCCTCTGGTAATTATCATCGGTTGAACAAACAAAATGTGGCCCCAATAACACTCTCCGCTGTCGGAGTGCACTTTATAAAACCCATTCATAGAGGGTGATATATTCACCCACTAATCGAGGTTGATATATTCACCCCACTAATCGAGGGTGATATATTCACCCCACTAATCGAGGGTGATATATTCACCCCACTAATCGAGTGATATATTCACCCCACTAATCGAGGGTGATATATTTACCCACTAATCGAGGGCGTTTTATATCCACAATTGTCGCATAGACGTGTCACTTTTCCTTTGATCTACCTTCATAGGATAACCAACTAATTTGAAACAATTTTAATAATACCATATGGTGTGAGTAAAGATCCTCCCTTCTCCCGCGTACAATAAATTTATCCGTCCTCATTGGTCTGTCAATTAAAATGTAACGTGTCCAAGTAGTGAAAATCATTAATTAAACCTGTCAACAGGAAATGACACCGCAGGAAATAAATTAAAAATCAAAAAAGAAGAGGACTTACTTACATTATTCAGAAAAATAAAACGTTGCAAATATTAAACAAACAAAATTCACCTTTACAGAGTCCGTAAACGAACCTTTTGTTTTCATTTTGTAACATGTTACACGGAATTAGATCATTTTAAGTCCGTGATTCGATGGACAGACACGTGACGATGGAACCTTGTCCTTCTCTGTAGAGATGTTAATGCTTACATGTGTAGGTTCAATATCAGAATTAACATCATTGTTACATAACGACCTCGATCTTTGACCATTCTCCTTCGGGTGCTGTGATTTGTAAATCCTTACTGCCAACGGGGTCTGGAAAACGGCCGATAACGGGCATTTCCTACTCTTCATCTTTGACCACCGATAACAAAGAAGTTACCAAACATTCCAATATCGACTGTAGTGATACTTTCTGGGTCACATTCAATGCAAGTCATCATTCGACAACCATGTTGTCATATACATCGTGCGCAAAACTGGCCTTGAGTTTTGGACGCAGTCCGACATGTGATGTTTTATAGAAAATGACAACGTTTATCCATACAAATGTCACGTGCTACTTTATGCGACAAGTCAATTACATCATAGGCCTCGCAATATGTCAGTTATCGTACTCGAGGGGCGGGGCCTACAACTCTCGCGCTACGCGCTTGAGAAGTAGCCCCTGTCCCTCTCGTACAATAACTGACATATTGCTCGGTCCCTATGATATAACCGATACCTACATAACCCGTTCAAATTTCCACCATATGAAAGCTGTTGACCCCATTGTAAACGGGCAATTTTAATAATAATCATAGAATAATACTAATTCCAGGTTCGTATATACTGCTTTATCACAACCTAGTCCGTAGGTCGTTTCAAGGCGGTTCACAAATTATTATTCGTGGTTATATGGCCTTTGCATCCAGCCAGTATCTGCCCAACCACGTACTCAATTACAACCGAGTAGTCTTGGACAATCGGAGTGAAGTATCTTGCTCAAAGATACAACACAGTGCCGTGACGTGACTCGAATCCGCAACCCAACGGTCTCGAGCCCGGCGTCCTTCTACTAGATTACTGTGCCTCCTATGACTATGAGCATAATGTCTTCAGACGTACGTAATGACTAAAGTCTACAATAACTTAAAGTCAATTACCTTCAGCTTGATCGTTTAGACAATCAGACGACTGCTACTTGATAAAGAGGCAAGCGCTTGGTAAACGTTGAATGGATAAAAGCTGACAGATAGTGAAGCAAACATTGACAAATACACAAAACACAATTATCACTTCACAATTTTTAATGGCGGAATTGGATTAGTAGAACAAATCATGGGTTGAAAAGGGATAACGCATATGAAAACTAATCAGTCTTTAACAATAAAACAAATGAATTGCACAGAAAATGAACCTTAATCAAATTACATATTTTGTTATATTTTGAACCTTGATTTGTCATTGACCTCTGCCTTAGACCTTACGACTAAGTTAATTAATCGGCATCGGTGATATGAACTATTTATTTTATTAGGATGCATTTACATTAGTAGTGTGTCTTGTGTTGTTGTTTCCACCACCCCGTATCATACTTTGAGAACATGACATTTTGTTGATACGTGTAGTTCTAAGCAATAAATACTAGGGAGAGTGTCCGACAAAGCAATAGATGAAGTCTCCATGTAAATAAATTCACGATTCTTGTATGATAATCATCCAATAACTCGGTTGTTAAAGATGACCTTGACATCAGAACCGTTATACGCCTTTCCTGAAACAGTTTATGGCTTGTTAATATAGTATTTTATAAAGTATGTAACCATCTTGTTAAATTGTAAAGCGACCCAATCGTGTTCGGACTGATAATGATAAAATGTGCTTTAGAATGATGTTTTTAATACGATATCTGTTGGCGGTATGTGAAGTGACAAATAAAATGAATGACAGTTTTACTGCTGATCTCGGAAATTGGTAAAATTAGTAATTTCTTCACGACAGGGATTAAGTCTTCGATTGTGTTAAGATTGCTTTACTTGTAACCTTCACTTTACTGTACTTAATAATCCTAATATGTCGATTTTGATTATCTATTTTTAGACATTAATAATTATTTGATAATTACGAATTTATATTCATTTCTTCATTTTCAATCTGATTAAAGAATAATAACCATTTTCAACCAATCGATGGAATGAGCACTTAATAACATTTGTTTTCATATTTTTACAGCTCAAAGACATCCTTCTTGGAAGACCTCGAAAAGATATTGTAATTAACGATGACATCTTGAAATGCAATAAGGCCAAGGCACTTCTAGAAATGTTAGACATTTGTACAAAAGAGTCTGTCGTCGTCGCAATTCCTGCATCTCAAAAACTGATGGTGAATGCCGTCTGGATAGCCATGCTGTATGGTTGGCATAGTCGTGAAGAACAGCAGTGACTCTCTGATACAGAGTTTTAGCAGAACTTTGTCATTCCACATTGAAGAAAGTGTGTTTGGTGTGTGTTTAAATTTTACAGCTGATTCAAGAAAACTTAACAATTGTTTGATATTGACATTTTATTTAAATTCTAAAATTGGTGAAGTTGTTGACGATGCACTTTTATGAACAACGCAAACTAAATAAATAAGGCTAGTTACATGAACAGGCATTTGTATTGCGGTTGTGCAATTGGGGAGCCGAGCATGTCATTCTAAATTATGTCATTATTTCTTGTCGCTGTTCTCTTAACAGTTTATACCAAATTGTTTCTATCAATACTCTTGTATTCTGAAAGGTGGTATATCGTAGACTGAAGTTAAGTTATCACCGTAACCAAAGTCTTTTAAGGATTCATGTTTCACTTCCAAAGCTGCAATTATGCATCGGTAAGCTTTTTGACCCGCCATATAAATTAATAAGATCATTTTTATTGATCCACTCTGAAAAACAAAACAAAAGAAATCTACAACAATGTTTGCATTAAAATGCAGTGGAGTCGGACCAGGATTCGAGTCCTGCTTTCACGATCTGTAAACTTTTGCACTTATCGAACTAAATAACTGCATCACTAGAAGTTCCCCGGCCCAGTCGCTCTAAAAGTGAATCCAAACGAAATCAAGGCGAGGTAACTGTATATATGAAAATAACAACAACAATGGGACCCTCTAATGGGTTTTTTCAGTAGAACAGGGATCTATAATTACAAAAAAATAGTGCAATGATCTCAATACCCACCTTCGAAGATGATAAGAAATATTTGATTTCCTTAATGAACCTGTACTAGAGAGGTACGAAAACAATTATTTGTTAATTTGTTTTTATTTGATCATCACAGAGACTTTGGGTGTTTTATGTAGATATATTCAATTGTTCATCTAGTCCATGCCTTCTTATGATATTGTCAAAGGTTTGCCATGTGTAACATAGGAATTGAGGAACGTTTTTATAAAGGTGGTGAATGTACTAGGGAGGTACTCGGACACTCTTTTGTCATTTTTTTATACTTAACCATCACAATTGTTTTGTTTGTAGATGTATATATATATATACATTAAATATGCAGCTATTTGATGTTTTTTCTCGATATTGTCAAAGGGTAACCATGTGTAAACTTAAACTGAAGAACGTTGTTATGACATTTGTATGGCTTGTTATGACAGCTCCTTTTAATAAAGCTTTTCTATACTCTAACGAATCTTGTTTAAAGCGTTTTTCATCTTCAGATTTGATTTTACCGACGGATGTCAAATTTCCTATTTGGAGCGTATTGACAATTTCAAATCGCAAACTGCATTTTGAATGCCAGGCAACAGCCAATTCAACGTTAATTGAACAATTTAAATAAATCTCTTTGCAAAATGAAATTGATTTCGACAACCACTGGAACGAAGAACGTAGCACGAACGATATATATATTCAATAAAATACTACTATGAATTTCTGGTGAGATCTTACCATGAATTACGGATATTATCTGAAAAATATTTATCGAAGCAGAACATTTTTTAAATGTCTCCCTTTAAAAAATCCTGTTAACTTTTGCCTGTAAAAGAAAGTCAGTAGTTAAAAGTGTGATTTTTTCTGATTCTTTCTTTCAATTCAATAATTCAGTCATGCGACGCTCATTGGCTACATCGAGGACTGGACGTTTTTTGGTACACGAAAGGTGTTGTTCGTTAGTAAATAAGGTGAAGCTCATCAGCAGTTATTCAGGAAATACATACCAGCCAGTTATTCACAAAGCACTTAATCGGAAAGCTAAGGCTAAGTAAATAAGACTTTTTAAAACTAGTTAATTAACAATCAGAAGCACAATATATTAGATGTATTATGATGGCGATCTTTCGCCTGTAGAACCGTTTAAACCACAAATGGTCGACATCTGACGGGTGCCTTTGGCATGGTATTTCAGTCAGATATCACTATAAAGTCAGCATCTGATCCATGCTATCACATAAGGAGGGAAATATACCTACATACCCTGTCTCCGGCGTACACATATGCAAGCATACACAACACGCATGGAGGTGCGTCCTAAAATGACCCCTGCTGTTAATAGGACATTAAACCCTGTACAACCAACCAACCATCCCAGAACTGGCAGACCTCCTGTGGCAAGCTATCTATAGGACTTGTGACAGTAGCTGTATACTTTTACGGCTACGCCTGCTGCTGCGTCATGGGGTAAGTGCCCTTTTCCTCAAGACAACGCCGAGGACTCCAATTACGCTGCAAAACATTTCTGAGGCAAAACAGAAATTCATATTTATCAAACATTGCCAGGTGCTAGTAACTTATAAGAAATACCAAATAGTTAAAAACCATTTTATTCTAATCAGTTTATTGAACAAGATAGAGTCCGAATACAAATAAATTAGTGGAGAAAATAATATAATGTTACAGGGAAGCGCTTTGACTTAATTTTACAACACTAGTCTTAACTTTGCAACTTTCGAAATTTCCTAACATGACAGTATGTGGTTACAATGTACACTGATTCTGAGTGGCAGATATTTGTGGATCCAATAACTACATTATAACGTTCGTTCGGTAGGTATTTTATATCTAGATATGTTTTTATATCTAGATCAAGCCATATTCAAGATAACTCAGGATTTGTTTTTTTTATGTTGGAAAGATCCAGACAATTAACAAACCTTACGAATATGACAATGTAGGTCTCTAGGGACAACCGAAAATTCTTGTTGTAAGGACTAAGAACAGGTCAAGAAATTATCACTCATTCTTTTCTTCCAAAAAAGGGTCAAATCTGATAATTTCAATACATGGATGTCCTTGATTTTGATATGGCTAATGATGATTCCCCCCTCCTGGGCGGGGAGTAAGGCATTTCATCCTCAACAAAACACAAATAATAATCTAGCTTTTGAGCAGGAAAAAAGTACACCGAAAGTAAATAAACAAAAAACAACAAATATTATTTCATTGATTATAACAAAAAGTAATAGACCTGGTATTTTGCATACATTTTTTCCTGCTCAAAAGTTCGTTTCATGTCTAGATCAAGCCAAATGCTTTGGACAAAATTGCAAAAAAAAATCTTGTTCTACAAGTATACAACCTTTAAATCAAATTGAAATTCCTACAATTTCTTCGAAATACAATTATCTCAATGTTGATGATCTGCCGAGAGAGTTACACAATTTAACATCTCTTTAAAAAATATGTCCTGTAAAACAGATGTTTTAACGACCATGATTATATTATATTATTGGAAGGCAATAGGAAGGCAAAAGGCTTTAAATATAACAATTGAAGTGAATGGCTTTTCATCAAGATCAGAATACGCGGATAATGAAAGCAATGAAAAATACGTGGCATTCGATATCAGCTATGCTATTTATATTCAAAGAATAAAATAAAAGAAATGTTGATATCAAATATGTTTGGAATGCTTCAATGGGCTTTCCATAACTATATGCAGATTGCTACATTCAAAAAAGCTGCATTCCTATAGGACGTGACTATTCCCAAAATAAACGATAATGTTGATTGTTCTAGTAATGATATTCTGTTAGTGTTAAAGACATATATGGAGATAAAAGTAAACAAGCGGGTATATTGGAAGTAGAGAGTGGTGAAATGTAGCTTCCGCGTGTGTTTGCTTCAGGAGAAGTTTATACAAAGTATTTGGTGTGTTTTTGTAAAAACAAAATACAAATATAATATTTTTCTTTCAGCCCTATCACATGACAAATATTTGTTAATGGTAGATATGTACAGAGTGAAGTGGATTGTCTGTCACTGCTGGATATTAAACGACTCAACAGCAAAGTGATTTGTTTTTAAAAGAACTATATCTGTGTTTATAAATCATCAAAGGGATGGTAACGTTTTCAGGAAAATGAGTTGCTTGACAACTTCCGTTCAAAGGGCCCTATACTTTATGCATGACCCGATCGACTGGTGACACACACAGGCGTGCAGTTTTAATGCATGAAGTATAAGCAGACTATCGCCAGTATAGCCTCTCAAAACAACGAATTAACCTATAAATAGAACAATAATACATGATAATATTTTTAAAAGATTTAATTACATCTATTAATATTAAGGATGGTATGAAACATCGATATTTTCAAACATATTCCACATTGCATTTGGCATAAAGAAACGAATTCATCAGAATTAATTCTTGGGACTGGCACCATCTTCCGCCCTAAGGCACATGATTTCTTGGTCATAGTATGGAAACATTTGGGATTTTCACACTGTACATGTAATAGAAAACAAGTGTTGTGTTTGATAAATACGGATCAGCCCTCGCCCATCGGAACTTAATTTATGGATCATACACGAATAAGGGTCAGATCTCGACCTTATAATCAAATACACAATTTCTGAGTATGAAAATATGAATACAAATGCAAATGTATTTACCTGGATTAGCCATACCTTGTCATATATTCCCTTTTCCATGATTTTGAAACAGTTAAGACACCATCTTATTAACATATACACAATTTTCCCCGAATCTGCTCCTCTATGAGTACTAAGTGCCCGTGCCATCAGTTGTAAAATGGCATATACTGACAGAATTACCCCTTAATCAGATATACTTATGCTGGGCATAAAGAAACGAATACAGTCATACATTGCACAACCAAGATAATCCATGGGTTATAACATGGAAAAGGTTGGGATCCCACCCCTATACATGTAACAACATATTAACATATCTTCCTTATTCAGCTTAGTAAACTCTGACTTCATATAAAAAATTGTAAACGCAATGAATAAAAAGCTCTGCTAAATGATGCTTGTGTCACATATATAGCAAGATAACTGGCAATGTAAACATTGGCGGATTCCTTCTTTTGACGGGGCCGGCCGAATAGTTGGGAATCTATTTGCAATAGTACATTTAATTAGAGTTTTTTGCGATAATTGCAAACAAATATCCAGTTTAGTGATTCCGGCTCCGTCGCCTTTGATTTGCATTTATTTATTGATCAAAAATGTAATGATATTACTTTCCTATAAATAGACACAACTTTGTTCTTATGTGTTTCGAGAAATTGTGCATTTAGGTATGGCAAAGTTTTCAAAGTCATCATACTGCATTAGGGGCATTCCAAACATTCTCTTGATAATGATGTTAATTTTGTGGATGTTCAAATGAATATGTTGTCTTTGTTTACAGAAATGTTTTTTGTATAATGATATTCAATTATGTTCATATTTCATGGAGTACACGAACATACAAATGTAGTTTCTTTCATCCACGAAATTACAGGTAACGCTCATTTTCTTTCTCTGCACCCCCAAAAAAGTACAAGATATAAAAGCTATCAATCACAAGGCTGAAACCTGTCTGGGAAAGCTTACAATGGCACGAACCTCGACTTCAAATCCGGGCAATTTTACCGTTACGCTGCCACCTGATTCGATTGATATACGTTTATGGCTCAGACTAAAAGCCTACTTGTGTCATCCACAAGTTGGCGCGTACAGAGCTTTCAATTTCATCAATGCAATTTTAAGGGTGCAGAAAACTTAACAGAGCGTAACCTTAGGGTTTTGAAAGGCGATTGTCTTTTAAAACTATTATTTGCACACATTATAATGTATTCTACCATATTTCATAGTTGTTTTTCGTATAGCCGCCAAATAAACATCGTAGCTATGTTTTGTATGTGTTGGAGCTTACATTGTACCTTATAGAAACTACTTTTTTACAAGGTAAGCTTCAACACACGAAACTAGATTTTCCACTGAAAGTATATTTATTTGGTTGTATCATTTCTGCAATTTAGGGAAGAAATCCAGACGTGTTTCAGAAAATGCCTACTATTCTAGCACATTTGGTTTCGCCACCGTTTTATTTTGTTGGGTTTCATGATGTTTGTTTTGTTTTCATTTTGTTCAACGTTCTATCTACAGCTAGGGTCAAGTGCCTCCATGTGTGTTGTGTATGCGTGGTGCTGTGTGGTGTGTTTGGGTGGTGCTGTGTTTTGTGTATTCGTGGTGCTGTGTGTTTGGTATGCGTGGTGCTGTGGGTTGTGTATGCGTGGTGTTGTGTGTTGTGTATGCGTGGTCATGTGTGTTGTGTATGCGGGGTGCTGTGTGTTTTGTATGCGTGGGGATGTGTGTTGTGTATGGGTTGTGCTGTGTGTTGGGTATGCGTGGTGCTGTGGGTTGTGTATGCGTGGTGAAGTGTGTTGTGTATGC